CACGCACGGGCTCACACGCTTGCCGAGGAAATGCACCGTTCTGTGCCTACGGCACTGGCTTACGGCTGGCAGGGACACACGGCAGGGCGCGCAGACACACAGGCACAGCAGACGCAGACTCTGGAAGACCCAAACGGGAGGCGCAGCGTTCACACACAGCACCTTGCACTTAGCGTAGACGTTCCACACAGACACAGCACAGCATGACACAGAAAAAATGCACGACACATAGTGCACGCAGCACAGACACAAGTGACCACACAGCACATCATGACAAGGACACACGATAAAGGAATTACTGCACACACAGGGCATGGACATACATACACACCAGGCTAGAGAGTGTGCGCCGCATGGACACGCAAAAGAACGTGCAGTTAATAGGCAGAGAGCCGTAACACGGTGACCACGCAGACCCACAGAGAAAGAGTACACTGGTGACCAATTACACTCAGACAGGCACAGAAATATTTCCTGAGATCCATCATAACATCATATAAATAACGGGCACACAATGGAAAACAAAATACACAGTCACAGAAATAGCAGAGGCAACCCATCATTGGTGTGGTCCCTGCCCTGGGTAGAGAAGCAGATGTGTGCCCCCCCAACACACCTGGGTGGCAGAGGTACACAGCACCCATCCTCCCTCCCCCACATCCTTCCCTCAGCCCCCAGCCCCACCTGCTCCATCACACTCTGTGGACACCTCTAGAAGGCGAGGGAGTGTCTGCATTCATGGGTGCGGCCAGTGGCACACGTTCCCCCAGAGCCTTTCCCGTCCACTGTCCAGGTGCCCATGGCTCGGCCCTCTGTCTCCTGGCCTTGGCATGGTGGAGGAGTCCTCTCATGTCCTTGGTCACCTCCTTGGTCTTGCTGCCCCTGCCTGCCTTACTGCCCCATTCTGGGTCCTTGAGTCCAGGCAGAACTCAGCAGTTTGTCATGACCACCTGCCTCCGCTCTGCCTGAGCCTGGAAAGAAAGCTGGACAGCAGCCCCATCAGTGAGGGTCTCCCAGTCCCAGAGAGCAAATCTCCAGGCCCCCAAGGGGACTGTAGGAATGTGCTACTTTTCCATATTCTGCCAAGATAATGTCCAGCACACACAAGAATGATGACACAGCTTCTGAGCTGGCCTGGGCCTGCCTTTAGGACTCCAGGACAGGGATGACAGAGGAAAGCACTCCCCTTTGAGTTGCAAGTGTCAACTCCATCCATTACTAGCCATGGGACCCTGAATGTGTCACTTCCACTCTAGGCCTCAGAGCTGTGGAGAGGGTTAGAAGTCATGTACGCAAATACCCCTGGCGTCTCATGGGTATGCAGCAAGTGATTATTGTACTTGGCCAAAAAAATCCGTATTCACTGAATGTTCCAGTAGGGTCTAGAACTGGGGGTTGCAGGTCACACAGGTGTGTAGGAGACAAGGAGCCTACAGGAGACAAGGAATACGTGTATAAATAAGAGGGACTCGGGCAGTGAACGGGGTGAAGAATTGGAGAGACCTGGCTTCAAGTCCAGCTCTCCCTGTGAGCCAGTGTGCAGTAGCCTCTCTTTAGGCCCTGTGTCCTCATCCGTTCAAGGGGGAAAAGGACGGTGATAATACTACCCCACTTCACAGTGCCATTGCATAATGAAGGTTAAAATGAGATCGTGAAGGAGCAGAGGTTTTTGTAAACTATAAAATAATATGCAAAGTATGACGTTGTTAAAAGCTACAAAACAGGAAGTTACAAATGCTACAAGAAGGTATAGTGTCATTGGTGGTGGTTTAGAGGCCAAGTTTCAGGGGAAAGGTGGCACTTAGATAGGATGTAGAAATAGAGAGGTGGGGGGCCAGCGAGTGGCATGGTGGTTAAGGCACTGGACTCCCACACGGCTTACTGTGGTTTGAGTCCTGGATCTGGCAGCTTGCTTTCTCGCTTTCTTTTTCTCTGTCTCTCTGTCTGTCTGTCTCTCTGGTGAGCACATGTATCCTATGGCAAATTAAAAATAATAAAAAATAAGATTAAATAAATAATAATAATAATAAAAAGAACTAGGGAGGTGGGTATTCCAGGTGGAGGGAATTTATTGGACTGATAAACGATCCCATTAAAAAAGAAATACACATGGCATAATGGTTACATTGCTGGACTCCCACATGGCTGACCTTGGTTCAAGTCTTGGACCCTGTGGCTTGAAACTCACGCTGGGCACAAGCCAAAGATACCAGGAAGAGAATGATGGCCATCCCCTCAAGGGGTGATTTCTCACTTTCTATCTGTCTCTCTGGTGAGTATACACACCCTATAGCAAAAATCCCTCTTAAAGAAAAAAAAAGAAATACACAGAGGATATTAACAGGCAGTTCACAAAAGAGGAAATCTAAATGGTCCAATGTATGAAAAGATGTTCAACCTCATTGGTCGTGTGGGAGATGCAGGTGAAAGGAACCCCATACACCGTTTCACCTCCCCAGTCTGGGAAGAGTGAGAATCTGTCAATATGGGGCTGCCACGTGGGGAAGATGTGGCATTGCTGGAACCTCACACACCACTCATGGAGGTGGAAGTTGACACGACGACTTTGGAAAGCAGTTTGGCAACACCCAACAAAGCTGGAGATGCTCGTATCTATGATTCAGCATCTCCTGAATCATGTTGTGTATAATTGTGAAAAGTTAGAAATGGGGTTAATTGTCCATCAAGAGCAGTCCAGATTGCTAAACTGTGATCTATTGGCACAATACAATAATATGCTGGGAATAAAAATAAATTAAGGTCAGGAACCTCAACAGAGGCAAATCTAGGAGAAAAAAGAAAAAAACAATATCAAGCCGTAGATACAGAGTGAAACATTCAGAAATATGCTACCTATGCATTTCTAGGTTTACAGCAGGCAGTAAAGGCATGGAAATGCAAGACGCCAAATTTAGGCAAGTAGTGACTTCTATGGAGGCAGGAATGGGAATGAGAGCAGAAAGAAGCATACATGGAATTTAATTATATCTGTAATGTTTCATTTCTCAGAAAAACATGAAAAGACCCGAGGCAAATATGGCAAAATGTCAAGTTTTGACAAAGCTGAGTAGATGGTCTATAGTTACTCTCGCTGATCCTTCTCCTTCCCATGTCTAAATCTTCTCATCTATTTTCTGCATCTTTGAAATGTTTGGTAATTTGCTTTTTCCGGAGAGGTTTTCGCTATAGGGCCCATAGCTCGCCAGAAAGAGAGACAGAAAGTGAGAAATCACCCCGCAAGGGGGATGGCCACGCCGCAATCCCTTCTCCTCTCGGGATCTTGGGCATGCATGCACATGTGCCCGGTGTGAGTTTAAGCCACTGAACCACAGCCAACTACATGAGAGTCCAGTGACATAGCCATTACGCAAACTGCTGGTCCCAAAACGTTTGGCAATTTTTAAAATGGGAGGGGTAGAGACCGCAGCAAGGTAGGTGGAGGAGGTTTGGGTGACGGTACCACCTGTTGGGGGTGCAGGCTGGTTTCAGCTCAGTGTCTTCTCCTGTCGGCTACTGGTCCTCCTCCTTGTTTCAGACTTGTCACAGCTCGATGAGCCAGGCTTGGCAGGATCAGGTTTGTTTTGCCGGCTGGAAAATGAAGTTTGGATAGGCAGAGTGATTTCCCAATGCCACATATGAGAGGGAGTCAGAGCAGGCCCTCTCTCCCTGCTGTGTCTCAACACCTGCCTATCAGGAGAGACCACCAAAAGCCAAAGAACCCTGAGAGACAGTCTCTTTGCTTGCAAAAGTCCATCTGCCAGGCCCAGCCTCTGTGGCACAGGTGGTAGTGTACGGATCCCCGGTGCTAGAAGCCACATGGCTGATTGTGAGACTGAGTTCTAATCTCGAGTTGACACAAAAAATGATGGGCCCATGTCCAAGATCTGATCGTTTGGACGCCTGGGAAAAGGGAATCATACACCCTCTGGCAAATAAAAAGAAAAAAAGGCCACTAACATATATTGAGAAGGCATAAGTTCACTTCAGAAATATTGTGAATATTGTTCAAGGACTTAACAAGTTAGCATATATACAAAGCAGAACATGCTTTCCATGAATGTGAATAATTACTGGGTCGTAGGAAAAGTCATGACGCATGTTTACATAGAAAAACACATCATGACTTTCCTGACGACCCAATATTATGGTAATACAAGTTTTGGAAATGATTATTATGTAATAATACCAATTGGATGGGCATATGTTTCATTGCCTGAGTTTGGAGGTCAGTTTATAACGTCCTCAGCATGGAGGTGCTGAGTTTTCGAATTATAGTAGA